CAACTAATATTTATTCAGTGCTTACTTTGTGCCGAGTGCTTTATACAAAAACAATCATTTAATATGTACAGCAAATCCATTATCATCTATTATAATAATAGATCTACTATAATCCATTATAATAATAAATTTATTATCATCTCCACTTTACAGAAGAGGAAACTGAGAATCTGAACCCAAGTGACAGTCAGTGTTTAAACCCACTAAGCAGAAGTTAGCAAACTTTTTCTTAAAGGGTCAGATAGTAAATATTTTCAGCTTTGTGGCCTGTACTGTCTCTGTTACAACTCACCTCTGCTCTTGGAGGGTGAAAGCAGTCACAGACAGTACTTAATGAACACACACAACTGTGTTCCAATAAAATTTTATTTACAAAAACAGGTGGTGGGTCACATTTGACTTAACATGTGGTAGACAGCCATCCCATGCTTTAAACCATTATTGCTGTATTGCCTGGGTTAAATGAATGACTTTACAAAGGAAAGGATGAATGAATGAATGAAAGAAAGAAAGAAAGAAAGAAAGAAAGAAAGAAAGAAAGAAAGAAAGAAAGAAACCCTCTTTGGCACCAGCCTTCCCCTGCTTTGGTCTCCTCAGTTCCCTCCTGAGCATTCATGAGACTGTTAGAGAATCACCTCACTGCCAAGGGGAAAACACCGCAGTCATTCCTTAGGGCTGAGTGAGGGGCACATGGGGACAAACCTTATAAGTGTAGTGTTTTGTTTCTGAGATGGGTCAAGTGAGCAGTGTTCTAGCTCCTTGAGACTCTACTTGGATTGCTAAAAGATCTAAATATTAACTCTCTGTTGAAGGAACACATTCCAAGATAAAGACCTAACATTTCTCACCAGGACCTTCACAATTTGTTCTGTTTTTAATTTTCCAGTGTCCTTATTTGCTCACTTTTCCCTGCTCTGGCAACACAGGAGATCTTGTAGATTTTGGATCAAGTAGATTCTTTCTTACATCTAGGTCTATGTTTTTTCATCCTATTTTTTCTGTCTAGAAAATTTCTAACTGCCTTACTTCAATGGTCAGGCTCACCCTGATTTGTTCTTTAGGACACTCTGCCCAGTGGCTATTATTCCCCTGGAAGTAGTTCTAAACATTCATGACACATGGTTGTCCATGCTCAGTGTCCAACCTCATGCTTGTTCCAAAAGTGACTTTTGCCACTGCAAAGAAATAGCTCTTTTGCTAGTCTGCCTCCCTAATATAGTACATATTTTGAGGGCAGGCGCTATCTCTTACTAGTCATTTTTAGTCCAGCATATAATACTGTGCCTGGTATGGAGAAGTCCCTTAGTATTTGTTGAATGAATGAATGAATGAATGAATGAATGAAGCACACCAATTTTTCTTAGAGGTGGCTGAGAAAAGCTTTACTTCCATTCTGTGCCATAAACCTTGTTCCTTCCCTCTTCATAGCTGAGGGAGATGCCATTCTCTCTGGTCCTAGCTCAGCAGAATGGATAATTTACTGCATCTTCTATCTGGGAAGCCATAAGTACAGCATTTGTCTCTCGAGAGTATTAACCACCCAGAAAAGCAGGATTTCTTAGAAAATAAGACTGGGTAGCTGGCTGTAATCCTAGCAGTATACAGTCAGTGTCTATGTATATAGAGAAAAATGTTGACCTTGAAGTCAGATTAATTTAGGTTTACCTATAATTTTTTTCCACTTTTTAACTTCTCTGAGGTTCAGTTTCCTGATCTACAGGTAGGGATAAGAATAGATGTCCTGCAAGCGTTCAGCAGTGTGGGAGAGGGAGTGGAGGTAACTTGCCGAGTACAATGTCATTATCTGGTAGGTCCTAGTCAAATGGTAGCTACAGCTGCAGAGTGCTATTGTAACCCTATGATAGACACACGAGGGACTCCCAGTGTCCAGGACTGATGACAGAACACCAAGGCTGTCTTGAGTCAACTTAATGACAACGCCAAGTTGCCTCATAATAGCAGCAGCTTCAGATGGGGATTGTCTGCACTGTTGGATTTCCCATCCCTAGAAAGAGTGAGGTAAACACATACGGCTCTGAAGTTCCCAGAAGCACACTTTATTTAAAAAACAATTTTTTCTTCTTTATTGATTTTTTAGAGAGAGAGGAAGTGAGAGGGAGAGAGAGAGAAACAATGATGAGAGAGAACACCGATTGGCCGCCTCCTGTATGCTCCCCACTGAGGATCAGGCCCACAACCTCGGCATGTATTCTGACCAGGAATTGAACCAGTGACCCCTTGGTACATGGGTCAACGCTCAACCACTGAGCCACACTGCCCGGACCAGAAGCACACTTTAACGTGCAGATCTCAGCCACTTGAAAACAAGTCATGTGAACCCATGTGCGACCCCCACCCGAGAATGTCTCTATTTCATTTGTTTTCCCTTAATTTGCTGTTTTTGAGGAGTGCATGAGACATGAAAGACTGATTACTGAGTCAGAGAATATTCTTTTTCAACAAAATAGCACTGGGATAAGTGCTGCTGTTGCTTCCAACTTCTTGATATTAAAATTTACCAGAAGGTCTTGGTCAAGGTCCTGGCTAACCTCAGGAGGAGAGTGTTTGGGCAAGGGGACTCTTCTCCTGGTGGTTAACTGAGACAGACGCGGGGGAGGAAAGCATTGCAGGTGTTTTCCATGGCTGCCAATTTCCCTAATGTCATGGGTGCCACAAACTGGTTTTCCTCTGCCAGCACATTTAGTTTACAAGATGATCCTCACATAAAACACTGCCAGTTACATTTATGAGAACGTGTGCAAAATTAAACCACTGACCCACTAGTCCAATAAAACTTTCCATAAATTATTGAGATTGCGCTTTGCTTTTCTTAAAGCAAACAAGCGCTTTGCCCCTTAATTATCCAAATAAATACTCTTGCAACAAATATGAGTTTTATGGATCCAGAAGGGGGTGTAAGCAACAGAGCTGTGACCTCCCATTGAGATCAAAGGCTCCCCTCTGTTCACTGAACACAAGTTAGGGCCCTCGTGCCTGGGTCTGCTGACAGGCCTGGCATCTGCGGCAGCACCTTCGGACATTACTTGGTAAATCAGAACCCTGGCTACACTGGACATAAGGTTGCACAATTACCTGGACTTCACCCAGACAAGCCTCAGGTAGAATCTGCTCCATATGGTGATCTATGTTAAGCAGCCAAAATGCCTTCTTTGGCATCAATAGGAGTCTCTGTATGTCTTCCTGGGAGCACAAATAGAGAACATACCAACCATTCAACCCTCTATTACTTTGGGTTTTATGGAGAAGAGAGAATGGGAATATAAAATGTATGTATATAACATATTTAATAGGCCATTTTGTCCACCAACCAGATGTTCCACAAAACTTCTAACATAATGCAAAATCTTGGGATTTTATCATTCTGGTCATCTTTGGAGAGTCTCTGTGTTTGTTGTGTCATCAACTTTATTATCAGTCATCTAATGCACTACCTGTGTGGCAGTATGGCAGGAGCCATGGAGGATCCCAGGAAACAGGTAAGAGACATACACGATCCTTGCTGTGGATGACATGTCTACCTGGTAATGGCCAGAGCTGACTGGGGATAGCCTTCAAGGAGGCGATGGTGAGAGAGGGAGCTCATGGCCCCTTGAACTGATCATTTGAGATCTTGGATCACATTTGCAGGAACCTATTTATGTTGAACAAGCAAAGTTCTTTGGAGAACTGAGTAGGAAAGAGGAGGGAGGGCTTTGACTTGGGTGACTCAGAGACCCAAGCCCTTGATTATGTCTGAGACTGGTGAGTGAAAACCAAAGTAAAAAAATATCTTTGGTGTGTCCCTTCACGTCGATGTTTCTCTCTCTCTCTCCCTTCCTCTCTCTCCCTCCCACTCTATCTGTACAAAAAATGGAAAAATATCCTCGGGTGAGGATAAAAAATATATATATATCTTTGGTATAAGATAGTATATTTTGTGTGCATAGGTGTGCCCATGTGTGGTGCCCAGTAGGAAGTTACAGTCTGGTATCTGAAAGTCTGTGCCAGGTGGTTATGGCCTATTGCAAACAGTGCTTTGGTTATGAGTCTTTCTCAGGATTTCCCAGAGCCTTCTTTTCTTGCATTTAATTGTTCTTAACTTTTTCTACAGTTCTCACTGGAAGATGGAGCGTGCAGACGCCTTTTACTACAGGGAACTCATGTGCTCAGGTAGAATGGGGGGCCTTTCTCCAGCTTTTCTCCTAGACCTTGCTCTGAACTGATGACTTTCTCATTTGTGTTTTTATTCTTTCTATCACAGCACTGATAGTACTTTGTTGCACATATGAGTTTAGACTCCTGTCTACTAGATTAGAAGTTTGTGGAGGACAGGAACTACACCTCTTTTCACCTCTGTATACCAGGTGCCTGGCATAGCACCTCGTACAGGAGGACTCCCCATTTAATACCTGTGGATGGGAATTTAGAAAGTTATTCCAATTGTATGAAAGAGTGCACCTGAGCCCCACCCATTCTGGTTCTTCTTGTTAAATTATTATTTCTACATTATGACATGCAATTAAATAAACTGAGGGAACAAGGAAGGCTGGACTCTAAAATCATTATTATATGTTCTCAGAGTACATTGGCCACAGCACTGTTTTACTTTCATAGTAAGCGTGATTAGCATTCATTAGTGTCCCTCTCCAGAATGCATTTCAATTAATAAAAGGGGAAGCAACTCTCAGGCATGCTGGATGAGGACGAACTGGACCGTAGTTGTTAACGTGTCAATTACACAGTTTACACATGGTTGAAAATCTATATGGTGTATGCCTTGATGGAATGCATGTTTACTATTTTCAGTATTTATTGACTGCCTACTGTGTGCCAAATATGAGCTCATAATTTATTTCAGTGACTTGGCTATGGATGTAATTTAACATGATTGAACAGAAAAATGACTTCATTAATCAAATTGATGTATTTGTAAATTAAAATAGATGAATCAGGCTTTATGCTTTTATAGTACATTTATTGTTATAAATATTAGAAGTCTAGTGCTCCCTTTGGCAGCACATGTACTAAAATTGGAATGATACATTGAGGATTAGCATGACCATTGCAGAAGAATGGCATGCAATATGTGAAGCATTCCATATTTACAAAATTATATTATACACTACATTAGGCTACAATAGAAGTCTCTATTAGATGACAATACATTAATGAATATTTTAATAAAGAAAAGATCATTTTAAAAATTCACTCTTAAGCTATTTAGCCCCTAGGATTTGTCCAAGTCTACCTGTAATTTGAGAGCATATTTAATGTGTGGACTGTGTTTTTCTTGGAATTAGACCGTTGTGTAAAATGATTATCTAGTCATTGAAACCGGGCACCACTTCCTCTACTTTAGAGTGTGTTATGTTGGGCCTCATTTCTGCTGAGGTAGTTCAGAGAGTATTCTCTTTGCTCTTCTTGTGTTAATACTGCAGAACCCTTTTCATTAAGGGAAGCTGGTTGCAATTTCATCTGTAAAAGAAGAAACTTTCAGCAAAACCCCCAAATTCTCTTGTATTAAGTTGACCAGAAGGAGGCTCCCTTCCTCCTCACTGTATAAAGTTCGCTTCAAAGCTTCCAAAGTACTTCTTCCCAGGCAGTTCTAATAGTCCCCGAGCCTTCTCTATCAGTGGTGGGGATGGGGGCAGCACTCTGCAAATTTCCCCGGGGGGCGGGGGCAGAATTTAAGTTTGCATCACAGATAGGAAGGTTTCAGTGAATGTAAAGTGTCCTCTCCATCCATCAGTCATCAGCTCATTCTTATATTTCTCTGCTAGTGAAGTAACAGTTAACAAAAATGTTAGGATAAAATTCTCCTTATTAACTTTGGATTTCTCCACATTCCTTAGTTTCCTTCTTTTGGCTTTGTTTTCTCAATTGTTCCTAAATCTCTAATACAATATTTTAAAAATTAATATTAAGGAACTGTTAAGAAAAGTGACTCCATATGGCATTTGTATTTTTTAAAAAGTTTGTACGTTTCTGTATAGAGCAAGAGCAGAGCAGATTTGTTGGGCTCTTGACAATCCAATGTGGAGTCACTGTCAGCCCCGGCAGTTATGACAAGTGCTACGTCAGAACTGAGGTGATGGGATGTAATGGGAGAGGCCTGGAACGCCCCAAATCACAGGTCTAGACAGTTGGATAAGGACTCCATCTGGACACTGAATGAGTGGGAACTCCACCCCTTGTGGGCTGTAAGAACTCAGAGTCCAACCTCCCAACACTCAAGTGTAGCTGTATCATGGGTCACACTTAGAGCCCTGTCGGACTTCCACTCCACTGGACAGGTGTCACCACTGTAGCCACCTGGCTTGCGATGGACACCTGCCTGTCCACCTGTGGACACCGCCAGTGACCCAGACTTCACGTCAGAAGCTCTCTCTCTGCTCACATCTGTCTCATAAGCACCACCCTCTGTGTGTAACTGCATGTGACTCTCTTGGTTTATTGGTGAGTCTCCTCTAATAAATCTGGCATTGTGGAAAGACACAAATGTGTGTGTGTGTGTGTGTGTGTGTGTGTGTGTGTGTGTGTGACTCTTTTCAGGGATGCTCCCTTGCTCACGATAAGTTGTTGCCTCTACCTACCTATCCATCTGTCTCTATGTACATATTTATGAGTAAGAGACACATGTTTAAAACATAGGATAATCATAGTTCACTGCAAATGCTCTCATGACATCACATTCAGCAATGAGGGGGCCACTAGAAGATTTAGAACAGAAACAAAAGGTGCCAAATCTTTGGAGAATTAAGAGGGATGTGAAGGCACAACCACTACTGTAGGTACCCACTTCACTCTACGATGCCGTGAGCTCATTTTGAATCAATTGATTTTTCAGGTTGTTCTCCTCCATTGTCAAGGAAGGCAGTTTATGTGGTGATTGCAAAAACAACATTGTTGCTCTTCTGAAAAGCCTTGTCCTTTAATGATGCAGCAGAGCTGATTATGAAATACCCAACTGTGACTAATTTGGGAGGAGTAACATCTCAAATAAATTGTCTTCTGGAAATTCTGTTGGAGCCAGTGAACAGCAGAATAATGATGAGTTTATCTGTGCTAATTAATTGTGCCTTTGAACTTCCGGTCAAGATGGCGGCGTAGGGAAACGCAGTATCGCGTTCTCCCACAACCACATCCAAGTTACAACAAAACTACAGAACAACCATCATCCAAAACCGCCTGAAATCAAGCTGAATGGAAGTCCTACAACTACGGAATTAAAAAAAAAGGCAGCTACATCCAGACTGGTAGGAGGGGCGGCGGCGCGAGGGGTGGCGGCAGCGGCACGGCGGCGGCGCGACGGGCTGGTCCCACACCCAAGTGTGGCGGATAAAAATCAGGAGGCTCCCGAGGCTGGGAAGGTCCTTCCTGAGGACTGAGGGGTCCCCGTCCCACACCAGGTGCCCCGCTCAGGTTTCCAGTGCCAGGAAGAGAAGTCCCCATAACTTCTGGCTGGAAAAACCAGCAGAAACTGAGGCTCAGGGAAGCTGACCTGGCTGGAGCCACAGGCAGCTCCCTAAAGGGCCCGCGCACGGACTGGTCGGACTCTCTCCCTCTAAGCTCGGAGGGGAGGCAGCTCCAGGGGCACCAGAGAAATACAGGGAGGAACTGAGCTGTTTGGCACTGGAGCGAGGGCTGGAGAGGGGGCTTTCTCGGGGACAAACGTGCTGTCAGAGGCCTTTGTTCCTTTGGTGAGCCCTTCCCTGGGGCGGCAGACAGTCGCCATATCTGGGACTCCAGCAACCTGGCTCACACTGGTAGCCCCGCCCTGCTGACTCCCTGAGGCCCCGCCCCACCCAACTTTCAGGCCCACCCAAGCTGTTGCTACTTGCTTAACCATAGGATTGGCCTGTCTTGGATCCTGCTTCAGGTTTTTCCTAAATTCTTTCAAACGAGCAGCATCGGGTCTCAGCGAGCCCCATACCTCTCATTAAGTAATACACAGAAACAAACACAGGAAGGCAGCAAAATGAGGATACAAAGAAACAGGTCCCAAATGAAAGAACAGAACAAAACCCCAAGAAAAGAACTAAGCGAAATGGAGATAAGCAACCTAACAGATGCTGAGTTCAAAATACTGCTTATAAGGATGCTCAATGAACTCAGTGAGGGCCTCAAGAGCATAAAAAAGTACCAGTCAGAAACGATCGCTGCACAGTTAGAAACGAAGGAGGCTTTAACTGAAATAAAGAATAATTTACATAGCTTCAATAATAGAGTACGTAAATCCAAGGAGCAAACCATCGATTTGGAATATAAGGAAGCAAAAAACGCCCAACCAGAACAGCAAAAAGAAAAAAGAATCCAAAAAAATGAGGATAGTGTAAGGAGCCTCTGGGACAACTTCAAGCGTGCCAACATTCGCATCTTGGGGGTGCCGGAAGGAGAAGAGAGAGAACAAGAAATCGAAAACCTGTTTGAAACAATAATGGCAGAAAACTTTCCTAACTTGGTGAAGGAAACAGACATACAAGTCCAGGAAGCACAGAGAGTCCCAAACAAGATGAACCCCAAGAGGCCCACACCAAGACACATCATCATCAAAATGCAAAAGGTTCAAGACAAAGAGAGAATCCTAAAAGCAGCAAGAGAAAGGCAGCTAGTTACCTACAAGGGAGTTCCCATTAGGCTGTCAGCTGATTTCTCAAAAGAAACTTTGCAGGCCAGAAGGGAGTGGCAAGAAATATTCAGAGTGATGAAAACCAAGAACCTACAACCAAAATTACTCTATCCTGCAAAGCTGTCATTTAGAATCGATGGACATATAAAAACTTTCCCAGACAAGAAAAAGTTAAAGGAGTTCATCACTACCAAACCGTTATTATATGAAATGATGAAGGGTCTTTTTAAAGAAAAAGATAAAATGTAGGAACAAACAAAATGGCAATGAATACATATCTATCAACAATGGAATCTACAAACAAAATGAACAGGAAGAACAGGAACATTCTCATAGATACAGAGAATATTTTGTTGGTTGCCAGTTGGGAAAGGGGTTGGGGGAATGGATGAAAAAGGTAAAGGGATTAAGAAGCACAAATTCATTGCTAGACTGACAAACCTCAAAGGGAAAGGGGTTGGGGGGGTGGGAAGAAATAAACCAAAGAACTTATATGCATAACCAATGGACACGGACAATAGTATGGGAAAAGGTGGGAGGGGGGCGGGAGTGGGGAGGAGGGGGTCAATGGGGGAATTCTTTTAATAAAAAAATTTTAAAAAAATAAAAATAAATAAAAATAAAAAATAAATAAATAAAAAAATAAATAAAAAAAAAAAAAAAAAAAAAAATTGTGCCTTTGAGGGTTTATTCCTTACCAGGGCACAGAATAGATTGGTGCTGTACTTCAATCCTCTCCTTGGCATGAAGGTTCCAGTTTTGGAGAACTGTGGTAGGCAGAACGATGGCCCCTGACGATGCCCTCATCCCTGGGGCCTGTGATTGTTTCATTACATGGCAAAAGGAGCTTTGTAGGGGTAATTAAGGTCATAGATATTAAGATACGGAGATTATCATGGGTGGTGCCAATCTAATCTCATGATGCCTTAAAAGTAGAGAACTTTCTTCAGCTGGAGGAAGATACAGCAGAAGGAAAAGTCAGAGGATTCCAAGTGTGAGAAAGATTTGATGTGCTGTTGTTGGTTCTGAGATCTAAAGGGTCACATGTGCAGACTGTCAAGAAACCCTCAGAGCTAAGGACCTGTAGGGAAATTGAGACCTCAGTCTTATAACCTTAAGGAACTGAATTCAGCCAACAACATGACTGAGCTTGGAATTCGATTCTTCTCCAGAGCCTCAGGTAAGGAGTGCAGTCCTGCCAACGCCATGATTTTAGTTTGATAAAACCTACCAGACTTATGTATGCCCTACAGAAACTGTGAGATAATAAATTTGTTTGTTTTAAGTCACTAAGTTTATGGTAATTTATTACAGCAGCAACAGGAAATATTTTGAAGGAAATGGTCATTGTGTTGGATTGTTACTTTGATGGTGGACTGTTACAAAGAACGATGACTCCATGAATACAGTCTATTAATAAATGGAGTATAATCAGAAGCTTGACAAATGTATTAGTTTCATATTGCTGTTTTAACTC